TATTTTCCAACGTATCATTTATGCTAATAGAGAATTTTTTGTAAAAATAATTTTTTATTTGAATACCAATTAGAAAAACTACTTTTACTTAAGCTTCGAAAAATATATTTAGACGTTGCAAATATTTTTTTCGTGAAAAAAATTGACATAAACGTGATTTTTTTTCACTTTTTTATATTTCTTTTTTCAAAAATGAGTTTTTTCAAAAACGGCCCTCAGAAATTCTGTAAAAATTTAAATGAGCTTACATTTTGTGTTTCTGAATCGAACCCCATGATTTTTTTCGTGGTGCTTTTCCATGCTATTTAAAGTTGGTTCAGGACCACCGTGTTAGTAGAAAGTTTACCACAAAAATAGCAAGAGCAAGTGGTTTCAAACATTTTGAAACATAAATTGAATATTGAAAATGAAAACGACGGAAATTGCAGTAATACTGAAATGAATTTGAGTAATTGTGGTAAAAAAATGAGATGTGACATAAACCCTGCAAAAGTAAAACCCGTTGGTTTCTCAGCAGAAAATTTAGATAATTATCAAGTAAACGTTGGTGCATCATGTAATGAAATGAAGAAATTAACTAACTTTTTAAGATGCAATATGGGAAGGAAATCTGTACCACCGTATTATGAAAAACATAGGACTAAAAATGCAAAATCCATGGAAAATATGTACAAAGAAAGCTTACATTATTTCGATACTGACATTAGTGATGTAAAAGAAAATAGACCTGTTATATATGTTGCTGTGGAAAAAGTACTTCAGTTTGTAACGGAAACGCGAAATTTAACTGGTAATTTAAATATTAAATGTATGGCAGATGGCGGTCAAGAATTTTTCAAAATAAGCATCTCAATACTTTCAGAAGACTATCTATCAGAGTTGAACGAAGAGGATAAAAATTTAGTGAGTAGTTCAAGAGTTCTAGGCAAAACTACATATTTAAAGAGCGAAAGTACATGTAAAAGAGGGCTATTAACCATCGTTGACAGGTTAATTATTTTGTGTGTTGTAGTCCGTATTGAACAGAAGTATGACAACATAAAATTGTTGTCTGAGCTGACTAATATTAACAATATACCCTTTAAATATGTCTCTGACTTCAAAGTCTTGCATCGTTAATTGTCAACAAATAGCACCAGCGTCTTTTCCTTACCCTTACTGTTTTGTCTCATTGAATGATCTGAGCACTCATAAAGACTTACATATCGAAAGTGAAAATGGCAGTGAGCTAACTGATTGTGTTTCTTCGCTAAAAACTTATGGTGACTTGCGAAATGATTATAATAAATTTTCATCTTCTATAAATAATAAGAAATTTACTAATCAATGCCATAGTACCGTAAGTGCTCCTCTTTTTTATTAAAAATGATAATATTTACGTAATAGAAAAATGCATTTTACCAGAGTTTCATTTTTTACAAGGTTTTGTAAACCACATGTTTTGGAAAGGTTTAGTTCCTATGCTAGGACGTGAGCAAGCTTTGATTTGGCCTTAAAAATTAAAACTTGTGCCGAAACATTTTCGAAGGAAATGCTTGCTGGGTACTTTTAAAAGAAGCCGATAAATTGTGTGATTCAGAAATTCAGAAATATATATATATAAGATACTTCAGATTAGTCCCGTTTATTTCCGCATTCAAAGGAATGGATAAAATTGTAAATAGTTATTTTTCGACAAGACGATTTGATAACTGTGATTTAAACAAACATATAAAATAACTTCACACAACACTTGCAGCTATTGAAATATCTAAAACTTTAAAAATTCATTTATTTTAGAACATCTATAACATTGTTTACAATTTTTGAATGGTATTGGGCTCGGTCTCTGATCCGAACAAGCTGGAGAATCAGTTCATAGAGTATTTATTCAATATTGGAATAAATATAAAATAAACATGAGCAATGATGAACCTTATGTACATCGACTGAAAAAAGCGGTAGTAGAATATTCTTCTTTTCAACTTTTAAAATTTAATTTAATTTTATTTATAAAAAATTATTACCTAAAGGGCTATTGTAAATACATTTCACTTGTTTATGTATAAATAAAATAAATTTAATTATTACTGTTAATGTTGTTGCTTAATTATTAACATCCATGTTATTTATTTATGAAAAATTTGATTGAAAGCTCAAAAACGATATTTATGAACATTATAAAAAATATTAATGAAGGCTAAATAACGTTATTTCGAGTTAGGGAACCGCTAGGATTTTTGTTGAAACGGATTTCTGACCTACAACTTACACAAAATCGAACTACGTAAACGGTTTTATGAAACATTTTTATTATACCTATCGTCTATTCTAGAATACCGTGGGTGCTCTATCGTTATTTTAAAGCTGATTTTTTCATGAAATTATACTGCAGCATATTAGCCGAAGTCACTTCATAGTATTTCATGTAAAACATTGATTTATGATTTTTTTTATTGTTGATTATATTTATATGAATCTAAACTTGATAATATAAAAATTCAACAAAGCTATATGCCCTGAAAAAAAATGTAATTTATATGTATTAAGATAATTTTACCATATTATTGTAAGGTTAGACCATCACGTAAATATGGATTTTTATCTTCCTCTGATACCTATGATTTGTCTTAATTTTTATTAATTTAATCAATCGATAATAACTCAAGCTATTAATTAGCTCCAATTTGCTATTTTTGCCACCAATTAGCTTTCATACCCATACACATCCTTCCTTACAGATAACTCATATGACCATAGTTCAACCAATCAGAACACGAATAAACAGGATTCACTTTCAGACCCTCCTTTTATTACAAGGATTTTTTCGTGGATTATTTATTAATACATTAGTATAAAAAATTAGCAATATTATTCAAAAATTGCAATTTTTCAATTTTGAAACATCTTTAATTCGATAAGACATAATAAATATCCAGAAAACGTCAAAGAATACATATACTTAGCATAATTTATCGAATATTTTGTTTAAATAAAATAATAAAGTTTCTTAAATTACTTTCAAAATTACGATAATTTAAACAAAAACAACCACTTTGGAAGTCACTTGACTATAGTTTTACTGCTTATATGAAACCAGATTAATGAAAATTAAAAGTGAATCTATTAACAAGACAAATAAAATGACAACCCTTATTTTAAAATCTTAAAAATTGACAAAACTACCCTGTATGAAAGTCTGATATTTAATGTCAAGACATTAAATATTATAGTCTAATATTTAATGTCTTGACATTAAATATCAGACTTTCAGATTAGAATAACTTTCTATGTAATAATAAAAATGTATCTTTATAGTACATGTATAAAAATTTTCGGACTGAATAATTCTGTATGTATTATATGTACATATGTCAATTTCTAGGATTTAAACTTTCTAATTACATTTCCAACAGAATTATAAAAATTATAATTTTTCAATTGTAGAAAAAACTTCAATTTTAGGCTAATTTTTACCTACACGGGAGTCAAGATAAGTTATTGATTAGTGGGAAAAAGATTCTTAAATTTTGTTATATTTTGAGTTTTTAATTAACGCAGATAAAATATATATCTTACAAATTTGTTTTATTTTTTTTTCCTACTGTGATCGAAAAATTAAATGTCGCTCTAACACCAACAACTCTTTTCCGCACTGATAAATGACATGCGAGCTAATTAGCTTACGTTAGCTAATAATGAACTCATTTGGTATTTGTTAGATAATTGCTATCACTTATCGACTGAACCGAAAGAAAAGTATTGTACATTATACGTGACAAAAGCAGAATTCAACTGTATCACTCGTATCCGGCTTCACCTTAGGGGGCAATCAATACATCGGGAAGGATGTTTGACTGTCGTCTCAATGTAGTGCAATATATTATTTAACTTATTTATACTAATAATAAAAAAGGCTAAGAATGTTAAATTTTTCAAAACATGAACAATTTTTTTAATTTTACCAAAGAATAGTTTTGAGCTTTAAAATCTAAAAACTAGTAGAATATATATTTATAGAAAAAAAACAAATAAAAATTTATATTCAGTGAATTGACGTGAAGCTGCCTATACATATATACATACCCCTCCTGAAAATAGAGCATAAGATCTTGGGTAAGAACTTGTGTCAAAAATTGCATAAGAAATACCATGGGAACTTATTCTTATGCAAGACCTATCGGTGGGTTTTCGACGTAACAACTTGCGTACGAAATTACGTAAGAACTTAACTACGATTGAACTTAAAAAATTATTTTAATTATTATTTGGCAATAATTCACAATTTATTTATGATTTTAATGCTCTACGCTTGTGCCAATAATCAAGCATAATCGCTATGCACATACGATAACTTTTTACAAAAATTATTCGTCAACCTAGAATTTATAGGATATATGCATGATATCGCATCGACTGATCTATCTTATATAATTACCAATCAGCTGTACGAAATCAATGTACTATTTTTAAACCCGAATCCGTCATTTACCCATGCATCTATGAACTTTTCCAAGAAATAGATGTGATTTATTAGTTCATTAATATTTAGACAGATGGTGTACTCGAAAATAGTACATCGATTTCTTATAGCTGCTTATAAATCACAAGAAAAATTACAACTGGTAATTATATAAGAGAAATCAGTCAGTACGTTAACGTCCAGTTCCATAATTTCTAGATTGGCGAATAATTTTTATGAAACGTTATATTAAGTATATAACAATTATGCTTGATTATCAGTACGAGCGTAGAACATTAAAATCATAAATAAAATAGTCAATTATTGTTAAATAATAATCAAAATAATTTTTTTAAAGTAAATAGTCGTCAAGTTCTTACGTAAGTTCTTACATCGAAAATACACCGAAAGTTCTTAGATAAGAACTTACTTACTTTTATAGTATTTTTTATACAATTTCTTATGCAAGTTCTGATCTAAGATGTTAAATGCTCTATTTTCAGGAGGAACGTTATATAAGGATAGTTTAGGTTACGTTTCATAATAAAATTTGATTCACCTGAACTTTGCTAACTCGTCGCGGGCCATCGTCAGGCGCCGTAGCAGTCTCTCTGCACAATCGGCTGCTTTTTCGAAGCGATTTTTCAGCAAGCATCCATTTTTCTCCATACTCGAGAGCTCGTCACTTGAAAGTACTTCATTTCCAGACAGAACGATTTGCCTTAACTGATCGAGACATAACGATATCGGTCTAGCGTGGACATCGATATCTTCTTTCACTTGCTGCCACAGAAATTGATTGTATTTAATATATTGCGAGTATCAAGTTTGCTATTCATCTATGATTACCTTCAAGCTATTAATTTGATTTCTAAGCTCATCAACGTCCTCATTGACGACATCTTGATGAGAAAGTCTGTCCTCAATTTCAGTGATCCATTGTAGCAGCTTGCCCAGTGTCTCTTCACATATCTTGTATTTTTCTTCCACGGTTTGCTAAAATGTGTCATTTCATTAGTCAGCGATCTTACGAAAACTTTTCACGCGCTGAATGCAATAGGCTCGATTTGCGTACTGCCATCTTACCCAGTGGCAATTACTGCAAATAAAGCATTGCCAAATACCTAATAAATATTTGACTTATAAGCTCGGACATGCAGATATTATATTTAGAAACACGCACGCACACGCACATACACAAACACACATGATAGTTCATGAGATAATGCAATGTAATATCACTTCAATAACGCAGCAAATTATGAACAATAGTAAATATCATTAATCTACTTCATTCATAAAAATTTGCTCTAATGTATCTGTTAACTCGTACCAAATAAAAATTTGGTAGGATAACCGTGTCACCGATAGATAAATGGTACAATTAACTTTCACAATGGTACAATTAACTATACACATTACCAAATTATAAATTAGGTAGTTTATAACAACTAATAATTTTTTTTAATTCTTTTATGAAACGGATATACTAAAGCAGTTGATCAGGATGATAACGACGAAATTTCGGTCTACCCCATTCTTGACGACACAAATGTTAGTTAGATGCAAATTAGAAGTTATGATAAATGGTATTTAATAGAAAATAAATAAATTAAAAGTTTCAGTGCAGTTTCTCTGCTGCTGAAAAAAATATACAGCATCTTTAGTAAATAAAAACAATACTTCAGGATTTCTTTTACAAAGAAAATAATGTATTTATTGAAACCATTTCAGCCTATATGAGTACAGTAGTAGTACGTATAGGTCACTAATCACGAACAATATCATCCATGTAAAAGAGGTCGAAGTTTCCTTTTGTTTATAGTGTGGAAAATGAATTCGCTGGATTGAAGAGGTAAAATGATACCTTCTTTTTTCGATTTAAAAGAAATTACAGACAAATACGCGCGCGCGTATGATCATCTCCAAAGGTATAACTTATTTTAAGAATTCTGAAAAGGTCAGATACATCGATGTATAAAAAATCAGGTACATACACGATAAAAATAAACGCACATTTGGAGGTATCCTTTCCACTCCTTAAGATACATTTTTTTAGTTAACCTGGAGATAGAATGAAAAGTAGCCAATAGGCTTTACTTTATGTGTCTCGGATTCATGTATGTAATGATTCAGAAAATTAAATTGTTAAAAATTAAAATAATTATTAGCTGTAGAATATTTTCTTTAGATAATTTATTTTCCAAATTAAAAAATTTCATTTCAATTTTTTACTAGTATACGAGTTACGATGAACTTATGACTTAAAACAATTATATTTTAATTCAAAAACTTGATTAATTGTAAGGATATTAAATGGAAAGTCCTATAAGTTTCGAAAAAAGTTCTATATGTTAAAGTCTTCAAAGTTTTTCTGTTTCTAAACAAACAAAAACCATTTGTCAAGTTTAGGCCAAAACCATGACCCTCTCTCTTAAGTTTTAGTTCCATTGGTAAGTGTACATGCACAAGATCTTTATTATACAATATCAACAATACGTAATATTTTCATTGATTTTTCAATTTTTATCACCGTCGTTTATAAATTTTTCAGCTAAAGTCAATCTTAGAAGTAAAGATAAGTAACTTCGGACGTGATGGAATACTAGAAAATGATTCAGGGGCAGTCTTTTTTACAAAAATTACTTCACTTATCAAGTTATTTTTATGATATTTTAAAAGTACAAATAAAAGTTTGTCCGTTAAATGTGGAATAGATATAAGATATTTCTTTTACGGTAATCCTGCTTTAATTTTTCGTGCTGTTGTACTCACCTCTAACTAATTTCGCGTATCTATACCCTGCTAATTAAGCTTGCTTTATTTCGTGCTATTGGTTTTGCGTATACGATATAATTTGAATCACGAAACTACCTATAAATATATTAGCCCTGAGAAATAAATTTTAAATTATGGTGTTAGTCTAACATAAGACAAAACTATTATTTCTCAAAGTTTGTTTATTACTGTATTATTTTTCATTGTAATATCTTTGTTGCCATATATAATTTAAATTTTATGTTATTTAACGCAGTGTATAATGCAGTTACAGAAGTTTAATATTAATAATTTATCAAATTATCAAACCGGACTCCAAGGAGTAATAAAGGAACTATCTGTTTTTCTGCGCTCGAAAGTTTGGAAATTGAATGACCATAAAATCGCACAAATAAAAATATTAAAGTAACTTTTCATAAATGATATACGATTTTCCATCGTCAGTTCATATGAAAAATTCAAAATTAAATTTTTCAATTGAATTTCTCTTTTCATATGATTAACCTATTAACGGTCATAGATGTCATTTTTTGGACATGTTGATTGCAAAATTCATATGTAAAACAAAACAATAAATTGATTTAACTTACATTTCCTTATGTTTTTGCTAAATACGAATCCATGCTCAAAAATTGTATTAAAATGTTTTATCAAAAGTGTTCTGCAAAAAATTTGAAAAATTTGAGTGTTCCTTGATCAATTTTAAAACATTTTTCTTCTTTAAAACTTTTTCCTAAACTTTATATGTTTTAAGAAAAAAATGGTAACGAAAAATGAAGTTTTTTTCAGGTTTTTGCATTTTTCCGTCATTTTGGAAAAAAGCTCATATAAAAAAATTTCTTGTTAAAGTTCAACAATTTTGTGTACTGGTAGTTGAAGAAAGATTTCGATATTGACGCGTTTTATGCTACAAAAAAATTGATAAATAAATTTTTTTTGAAATTTCACTATTTTTTTGTAAAAAATCCCGACATATTTAATTTTGCAAACAAAATTTTTTAATTTTGAGCACGGATTCGTATTCAGCATACTCAAAAACATAAGAAACGGTACATTGAATTAATTTATTGTTTCATTTTATACATGAATTTTTCAATCAAAAACATGTCCAAAAAATGATATCCATAATCGTTAATAGGTATAAGTCACTAATTTAACAAATATGGTAGATATATTGATAATTATAGAAGAATTGAAATAAATTTGGTTCGTTTCAACGAAGCTCGAAGTTCATAGATTCGCACGTCTATTTTTTTAAGTGTATGCAAATCTTCGACGATTATACTCTTAAGACTAATGTTTCTAAATTATTTATGTTTCCAAACTTATGATGACAAATAAAAATGCTACATGTGGAAGTTATATTTAAGCCGATCGAAAGTGGTCGTTGAACGCGTGTACAAAAATGTTGAATCGATGATAAATATTCTGAGTAACAATGCACATCAATGGGATCCAACTCACAGATACAGGATTAAGACGCAGATGCATAACAGAGATGAAGTAAAAGTACAAGAAAGTGCGACATACGCACAGTTAGCTAAAAGCATAGCTTGATATTAAAGAAGCTCAGATTTGTAACAATATGTAAGTAATACGTTCATCACTTTTTTTCTGATGCTCAAACAAGCATCAGCCATATGGTGTTACGATCACAGAGGTAATCGAGCATCTCGAGGATCAGCTAGAATCAGACTGTGCGAGAAGCTGATAGGTAAATATCCAACATGCAGCTCTGCTTCACGAACAAATACTTGCCCAACATTAAGACTCAATAACAGTCATGTAGAAACGAGCCAGGCTTAAACTTACCCCAGCTTCGACGGTGAGATTATAGCGAAAACTAGTGGCTGAATACGAGAGTAAGCTGAGCTCCTCTGCAGGCATTTCTCTAAATATTAGGGCCTGACAAAAAGGTTTGTCCAGAAACGGAATTTCTTCAGTCGAAGCTTCCATTGTTTCGAGCTGCACGTGATGACTTTCTCTAAGAAATCCAGACTCTTTGACGCTGACTACTATCTTGCGTTCACTTTTATTTGCTTGGAGCTTTTCCACTGAGACAGACGTACTTTCGGAGTAGCTGGCTGATAAAAGCTTCGTCTGTGCAATTAGTCCCCAACGAACGGCCCCGAACAAAGATATTTCTCGTCCAGTATCTTGATCGAACACGTAGTCAGTGTTTTGGTCGATTTGTGGCTTGACAGAGATTTCTTGCAGGCTATGAAAAGCGTCAGTGTTGGCTCTGGATCGATTTTCGATAAGAACTTTCACAAGATCAAATATTCCAAGGCTGAGAATCGATTCAGAGAACGAAATGGCGTCGTTTGTTCTTGAGTATAAAAATTTCTGATTATTCAAATCGAAAGTCCGTAACTCGATGAATCGACTGGCAATAAGGTCTGACAAGATCGCAATTCTCCACTGAATCTCGTCCTCTCCGGCCGATGTTATACTTTGCTGGAGTTCTTTTGCGACAGGGCTTTGCTGTACTTGTGCTTCTGCCTCGCCAGTGCCAATCGGACCCGCGGCGTTCGCTGCTTGGTGCGAAACTGGTGCACATGTAAGAAGTCGCTCGTCATGATGTGTTATTAGTGTCGAGCCTGAAGTTTCCATTCGACCCTCGCCAGTAATATTGCTTAGTGTTAGAGTGTAAAATTTGTTCTGAGACGAGATAGACTCTAACTTAAATTTATCGATTCCTGTTCCTAAAGTAACTTTTGTAGGCATAACTTCCTTCATACTATCAACTGTTATCACGTTTAAACCTGAATTATTGTACATGATTTTTATTTTATTGGCCATTTTCATTTTTGTGGATGATAAGTAGTTGGGAGAACGATGAGTCGCAGATTTAACTTTAGATACGGATAGATCGAGCGTCGTAGACGCATTTCCGTCAAATGAGATCTTCAGAGAAGCTAGGCTTTTTATCGAGTTGACTAAATGACTTATTACTCTGCTTTCTATTTCAATAAGGCTGTAATAATTGCTTTCTTCGAATGGAGTATTAGTGAGATAACGTTCATCAGGCTTGTTTTGCTTTCCCTGAATGCATCCGATTTTTTTGTTATTCTCTGGCATAAGGCTTTGCTTGTGGAACTTATGCGAAACAGTACTTTCCGCAAAGGATTCGGCATTTCTCTTGTTACGGATTTGTACGTTTATAGGTTTTTTTTTATCATTCTGTAAATAGTTTGACCTATCATTCACCATAATTT